GTCAGATTTGAGTCGAGTCGGATAAAATGTTGAGCTGTTGAGTTGAGTCAGAGTTGAGTCGGACAAAAATATAAAGGTGTTGAGTTGAGTCAGAGTTGAGTCAGTAAAATAACTTTTGACACTGAGTTGAGTCAAAAACATTTAGGAACATGAGTCAGCTGACTCAACTTTCTAGAAACAATATATAGTATAAGTTTTTCATTCTCCCCCGCTTAACAACTTAGGCCTGGCCCTGCTGCCGGATTTTTTCACCCCCCCCCCCCCCGCTCAACAACTTTTTTATCTGAGTCAATTTTGAGTCAACACACTTGACTCAACAAAAAATTTGAGTCAAGTTTGAGTCAACTCATATTTTTATTGAGCCGCTTGAGTCATGAGTCGAGTCAAGGGAAAAAATCAGCTCCTTGTTTGAGTCAGAGTTGAGTCAGGGCATTCTGAAGTTGAATGATGAGTCGAGTCGGCAAATTTTTTTGAGTCGAGCACAACCCTGGCTGGTCGCAACTTAGGCCACTGGTAACATTAATATTGAAATGTAAATTTGTAGGTATCTATTCACTATGTATACAATATACATCTACTGGACTTGGGTCGACGGATTATATCTGCTAGAATGTTGGCAATACCAGACGTAGCAGAATAATATAGAAATAAATGTACCTTTCTGTCAAGCATATTTACGTACTAAAATGTCACCTTTCTGAGCTCCAGCGACTAAGCTTTCGTGCACAGGGCAGCAGCAGACACGTTAGAGCGTCTGTGCAGTCGCCGCCACCTGCACTAAACATCGACCGGTGGGCAAACATATTGACCCGGAGTGGGCGCCCTCAGTTCCAGGCCCGGCTCGTAAGCGCCGGCGCATTGATTTATGTCGTGAGCAATCATGCCGTCAATTGGTGCGTCTATTGGCGTCTCCAGAGCTCAGGCACCAGCGGGTGGGGTGTCGGATCAAAGCCGAGACGGAGACGGCATGCAGGGTAACGACGTTTACCTGACGCGTGGGGAAACGATGACGGTTCACGGAAAAAGGGAAACAGGGTAACGGGGCAATGGAACGCGGCTTAGATGTCTTGTCTTGGGTAAGGAGATAACGGAAATACTTGGGATGCCTCGAGAAAGAATCTAGACAAACCGTTCGCCTGTCGATAGCGTTGATCAGTAGACAGAACATGACCTGGACGGAAAGATATAGGAAGGAGGTTGTCTTGGAAGACACTGGACACGATGAACATGCTGATTGTGACAGAGTGGCGATGGATGGTCGTGGACTGAACAGAACAGGTTGGGGGAGAGCGATCAGCTGCCGTGTACCGTCCACCGCCAGCGGAGGATGTCAGGTGCACCTATCGAACCACGATCTACGACTCCGCGTGTCTGTTAGTCCACGTGAGGTTCGCAGAACGGCGCCCTCCTCAACACGCTATTGATTGTGTCAGCGGCGCGGGCCGTGCCTGGTGGATCGCTATAGTTGTTCTACCTAGCTTAGGGCATCGATCGGGTAGTGTCTGTCGTCGAAAACACCCTGCAGGTGAGCCCTGCGGCGCTGTTTCGGGTCAGGTCACGGGGTGGGGTGGAGTGGTCAGGGGTGGTCAGGTAGAGGGCTACTTGGAGGTCAGCGGCCACGGAGTCTGGGGAGGGAGGGGCAAAGGTGCAGGACAGGCATGACCAGAGGGGGTCATGCGGAGAAGACAGGCAAAAGGAAGATAGACGACATAAATACTCGTAGACGGCAACCATGGCGCCCGACTGACGGAATCGGACGAATGGGCCAACTGTGTCGCACTGCAACACTGCAAGCGCTGCAGCTGTGTCGGCTAACCCCTTCCGGTGCGGTGCAGAGGCGTGGCCGCGGAGGCGGAACGACAGACCGGTTTGTTTGTCCAGTTATCGTCGTTCCTTCTTCTAGCGCCTTGTATAAGCGGCAGTCAGTCGTGCAGGCCAGGCCCCGGACAAGCCCTGAGCTGTTGGGCGGCGATTGATAGCGGCCATTAGGAGGATCAATTGTGTAGAAAGGTTGATCGATGATATTCAGCTGAAATGAAATATTTGACCGAGCAGGAAACTTAACAAAGCTAGACTGTAGACGGAAGAGATACAATTCTTGTAAACATTGCAGAAGTTAAAAAGGAATAAAAGAAGCTTGGAAACTATCCCTGCTGCAATTTTTCCAACTCGAGGCAACGTAAAACCATGACAACGACACACATCATCTTCAATGAACTATTATAATGACGCTAACAGAAGTGAACTTGACACGCCGAGTACATCCGAACAACGTCTGGGAGGACAGCCTCTCGCGACTCCTCCATCGTCTGTCTCGTCTGCGCCATATAATCCACATCACGCGTCCGGGAACACGCGATGTGTTTATACGGACCAGACCGAACCGCGAAACCACCGACGGACGTATAGGATTACCACACAAGTGCATTCGGGCATACATGCCCACAAGATGTAATCAGATGAGCACTGATATAGCCGTCTCTTCCGTTCGGGAGAGTGCCGCCGTCTTCGGTGGTGGGATTGTTCATCGGGCAGGCTGACGGCACTGATCCACCGATATAGGTTGGTGGACCACATGTATGCACTAATATGTTCCAAGACAAATGTTAGGATATTAGCATTGAATGATTTATAATTAATGCCTACCTTCTTATTAATGTTGATAACTGTAAGTCGAGACAAGGCGTATCTTTATACAAATGTGTTTGAGCACGTTGTATTAAATTAAATAGCTTGATGATGACTGCTGAAAGAAGGAAATTGTACGCTTCCCGAAGCGGAAAATGACTTCGCTAAGCCAATTTGCTTAATGAAGAGCGCAGGTACTTATTAACATCTGCACCACCATGTGGCCCATTGATCAAATTACGCCGAGGTGTATAATTTGCAGGGACAACCGCGCCAGTCACGGTGTGGCAGCACGGCACCGAGAGAGCCTCCAGCAATCACCGCCACTAAATGCCACTCTGCGGCTCTGCCCAGAGCCATAAAAGCACGGGAGCCACTTCCTCCCCACTCCCGAATGAGTGGCACTTCTGCCGGCTCGCCTCATTCGGGCCAGAAACGACCCACCAGTTGAGCTCTGCCGCGCCAAGAGCCAGCCGACGGAGTTGTTAAACACAGATTCTCCCGATTTGAAACTTTGTGAACCGTTGCTGAGTGTGTATGCGGGTTTCGGAACTCCACCCGTCCCGCCCGCCGCCCGCATGCGTCGGACGGAACTAGGATCTCGATCCATTCAGGTCCAAACGGCCACCTGGGACTGAGAGGTGAGAACTGGGGCGTAATGCGGGATACCGGTCCCACTCCGGGCGTCCGGCGCCCCAGGGAGCGGCGCCCCGGACCGAACGCTCCGGGATCGGGATCCCGGACCGACCGCTCCGGACTCCGGGCCGACCGCTCCGGACTCCGGACTGCCCGCCCCGGGATTCTGAATCTGGACCGACTGTTCCGGGTCCTCGCTCCCGGACTCCGAACGGGAGACCCAGACAATCGCGGGGGAGCAGACCGGATTCACGCTCCGCTCACGCACTCACGCAATCGCCCGCGCACGCACACGCACGCACCACACATACACACGATTTGATCTCGCTAAGCGATGCGACCACACGCAGTGTTTCGCAGATCCTCTGTCAGGCAGTACAGTTAACAGATAGGTACCTATCTGGTAACCTGTGAACTATTGCACCGTCGGGTATCTCGAGCAGGTCGCTGCGCATTGCAGTCTGCAGGTCATCGATCAAAGACGGAAGGAAGTCGGGACGGTCTCCTCAGACCTCAGGTGACTGGTGGTGATTGAAATGCAGCTGCTGGGATACAATCTGAAGCAATCTGCGGCGACGAGTGATCGATGGGCCGGCAGGCGCCCCTTGGCCTTTTATCCCATATTCACCGGTTATCGCCTCAGGGGAACTCGGAAGTTATTAAATGTTCAGACAGTCAAATAGATGTCTTGGAGCGATGCAAACAGTTTGTGCGCTTGAATGCTTACCCAACTAACGGAGGGCCAGAATGTTTATTCATTTCATCTCGGAAGTCGGATACGAACATCTTTTTATAGGTAGGAAATAGCTAAATACCTACCAATGATTTTCTGAAAAAGCTGTAGCCCAATAAAAGTATTAACCTACTCTTTCTCATGACGAAAAGCCGCATAATTCCTATCATTTTAATAATTGTGCCGTCACTTTAACGATAAGAGGCTGCTTGCTCAGGAACCGCACAAGCATCTTCTCGTATTCCCGGTTAGTTATTTGAAAGAGATGGGTGCTGAGCTGACGGACACGAACAGCCACTTAGGCAAAATGACGACGGTTTTCTTTATAACCATGCTTCGAGCCAGTTTTGAGCCACATTAAATCGCAACGCGTCATCCGGATCCGATCATTGATATATTTTTAATAAGGCTTGAAACAACGCATTTGCGTAACTAGACGACCACAAGTAAAACAACAAAACTCCATCCTTTCCGCCCAAGTATCTGTTTCTTAGCCGGCAATCCATCTCGGCTACAATCGGGCGAACCAGTGCCGGTTGACGGACCCCGGCCTGCTCCGTCACCGGTGGCGTCAGTCCGTGATACGGTAAATAAAATGATAATTGGCGCCCAAGGCCGGTCGGTCGCGGGACAACACCCCGGCGACAACCGATAGAACGACACGGTCACATTCCGCTGGTGGTTTGGGAGCCATTGTACCCACTTAGCCGGGGTCGGATCTCCTAGGGGATGTGCATAAGGATGAGTCAACAGGGGGACAGGACATACATCGTGTCATGTGTGCTAACAGGATCACATTTCATTGCACGATGAATCACAAAACGCGATCTTCTGGATCTGATGATGTGCACTCCTTCACCGAATATAAATAATGTGTCACAGGACGAAACAAGCACCACGCCTACAAGTGACGATGTTTTTGATCTGGATCGTATTTCTGAAACCCGTACCACTCGCACCACGCTGACCCCAACCGGCAGGTTCCTGTGCCGTTCCAACTCACCTCCGACAGCTCAGGGTTGTTGCTCATCAGGTCAAACACGCTGGCGGCGCGGGCTCGGGCCAGGCCGGCCAGCAGCAGGCACACACACCACCACCTCATGGCTACACTCGGTCTGCGCCGCTCCGCACTCGTTCCTTCCCGTCACCTCCTCCCGCTCTCGACTCATTCACAATACTCGGCCGATTCGCCGGCCGGCGCGCCGCGCGACGGGCTAGTTCGCCAGACGGCCGACAGGCGGCAGCACCGGCCGCCGCCGGGAGCCCGCTCGATGCAATGGTCCGCTCCGCTGAATGGGTGTGACTGAGCCGCTTTAGCGCACGTTATTAGATCTAGACGCGTCGATAGAGGAGTGGAGAGGCTACGGGAGGCTAGAGTAGGCTGGGATAAGAGGGAGTAACGTGTTAATTGGCTCATATTATTGGTCGACACTTAGTTCTTTCTGTCCAGGGATCAACGTCCACTATTCCTCGCCAGACCTATCGGTTTTCTACATACGGCTGAGGGGTACACGGCCCCCGCCGTTTTCCTAAAGCTTAGAGCTAGAGCTAGAGCTTAAAGCTAGAGCTCTAAAGCTTTGCCAGAAGCAACGAACGTATGGGAGCCGTCACCGCTGAGAGCCGTCACAAGGCGCTGCAATTGTACTCATGATTTTAAGGTCTTAGGTCAACCAGTCCAAAGACCTCTGAGGTCAGGTCCCCAACCCTAGCCACCCCTGGCTCCAGGGAGGCAGCCCGATCCTATGTTCGGGCCCGGACCCCGGTTTCACGGAACTTCGACAAAAAAAAAAAATGGTCACAGACCAGCACTTTGACTGCGCAATCATCTCATTTGTCACCCCAATATGTATCGGTATCTCAGATTTTCACAGCTGTGAAAAAGGAAAGCCTAGTTCAAATTTTACCAGAGGCTCGTAAAAATGACCCTTGAGTATGAAAACTTTGGAATTTTATGACTTTGCGCATAGGCGGCGGAACGATTTGAGACAAGGGGGGGCACCATGGCTCAAGGAACCAAACCTAGGGTAACCCCAAATCCTGTTTTCTCATCGGATTTAGGCCACTTATTTTTCGTCACAGCCCTGACACGATGATTTTTTTTTTAATTTTATTTTTTACTAAACGAAAATGGCAGTTCACCCCCGTATGCAGGGGTGTAATTTTATATCTCTTTGTGGGGGCATATGCACCCACAATCCTGAATTATGTATGCCCACACAATGATGAAAATGCACCCACAAGTCTTTTACAAGGCTGCAAGCGTCCTTTCGAGAGTACGGTGCCCTTCGCATGCTCTAACGGCGTCCTCCTGACCGTCTCGCGTGCATGGATAATATAGCGTTTTTAATCACTCGGCGCCCTTCTGGGAGAATGGCGCACTTTTGACAGCACCGCGCCATTCTCATGGTCTAACGGCGCCCTCCTGACCGTCTCGCGTCCTTAGGTCTCTGTTCACCGTGCATCCCTCGACTGTTCGGCGCCCTTCTGGCCTCTCAGCGCCCCTGAACCACATATAGCGTTTTCAATCACTCGGCACCCTTTTACGAGAATGGCGCCCTTTTCATGATCTCAATGCGCCCTCGTAACCATCTGGCGTCCCCACGTCCCCACCAACGTAGCACTACTGACTGTGCGGCGCCCTTCTGGCCTCTTAGCGCCCCTGGACCACATAGCGTTTTCAATCACTCGGCGCCCTCCCAAGAGAATGGCGCCCTTTTCATCGTCTCACGGCGCCCTCGTAAGTCGTAACCGTCTGGTGCCTCCACATTTGGTGCCCCTCCTACTGGATGGCGCCCTCTACAGCTTTTTACGTCCTTCCGGTCAGTTTCCACTTTTAAGCGTGTATTTGCTTAGTCAGACACGTCACTTGAAGTGCCATTCGGCTAGCAATGTTATCAAATTCGGTGTTAATTTAGGCTCCCACATAAAGAATATCTATCGCGCCCCAAAACGGCCTGGCGCCGGGCGCCCCTACAGCTGGGCACCCACAATCATTTTAGGAAAATTACACCCCTGCCCGTATGTGTGGTTAACTTTAAGCTGATCCCCAAGTACCTATGTGTTTGTCTCTTCCTTATTCTCGTTTGATAAATTCCATTAATCCTACATGTAACAAATTACCAAGAAGCCATCGCATGGTACTAATCAATGGCGAATCCCAGGGTGGAGGTCACATGGGCCATGACTTAGGGCCTGGGGTCACCACATGCCTGCCAGGAGCACCACAGGCCTGACAGCCGACAGGGGCACCACAGGCCCGCCAGGGGTACCATAGGCCTAGCAGGGGCACCACGGGCCTGTCAGTGGCACCACAGGCCTGTCAGGAGCACCATCGGCCTAGCAAAAGCACTACAGGTCTTCCAGGGGCACCACAGACCTGCCAGGGGCACCAGAGGCCTGCCAGGGGCACTATCGGATTCGCAGGGGAACCACCGGCCTCGCAAGGGCACCATGGGCCTGTCAAGGGCACCACAAGCCTGTCGTTGGCAATTTAGGATTGTCAGAGGCACCACAAACCTGTCAAGGGCACCTGCGTTCTAACAGGGGCACCACAAACCTGCCAAGGCCCAGGGACACCACAGGCTTAGCAAGGACACCACAGGCCTGTCAGGGCCCATGGGCACCTAAGTCATGTCAGGGCCCACCGTAGGCTTGTCAGGGGGCAGGGTAGGTAGGTACCACAGTCTTTCCAGGGGCATCAGCGGCCTAGCAGGTGCAGGGGCACCAGTCATCACATGACTAACCAAAAATAAAGAAAATAAAAAAAACTGAAAATAGGGCACCACCAAAATTAAGTGGCCGAAATCCGTTGAGGTTTTAATTTTGGGCATAGGTAGGGGCACCACTTCGATTCATGGCCCTCCCCTTGGAGTTTTCCCCGAATCTGCCCCTAGTACTAATCCATCAAATTTAAGGGGGGCACCTTGCTATTGGTGCCCCCCTTGCAGAATTCAAGGGGGGCACGGTGCCCCGGTGCCCCCCCCCCGTTCCGCCGCCTATGACTTTGCGTGACTGACCCTCTGAGTTGGACCCTGAGTTCTACGCTACGAGAATTGACCTTTCCATGAGTGTTGACGGAATTTAGATAGCCGTCAGCTTCTATCTGATTCCTGCAATAGACCCACGTGCCAAGTATGGCATGGCGAAACCAAACTCCCCTAAACCACGCCCTCCTCCTATAACTCCCACCTCTGCCTGTTGGTCCTTTTAGCACCGAGCGGAGTTGTTGGCCCGACGCGAGCGCCACACGTACCCCTTCACGAAGTGGCAAAGCTATAGTACTATCATTTCGCAACAGGTGGCAGCACCACCAAACTGCCTGAGGCGGTGCAAGTGTCTGGGTGAGAGTCGCCAGCCGACTGGGACGGTTCGCGACTCGGGACTGCAGCGGCGGGCTGGGCCGGGTACGGCAGTGTTTCGGCAGGGGTGTGAGGTGCAGCGGCGGCCCCGCGAGCGGCCACGTGGGTCAGAGTCGGCAGCTCAGTTGGGCAAACTACGGGGAGGTAATCAAGAACTTGATTAATCAAGTTCATGATTATTTTATGCCCATATTTGGACATGTTTGCAGCCCGTCACGAAAACGGCCGAATCTCGATTCAGGGTCTACGGAGATGCACGAAAATTTTAAGACCGATAGAGAAGAAGTCACTCTACAAGTGTAATCTTTGAATGATTCAAGTTGAAAATCGTGAGGCGGTAGATTGCAACCAAAACGTAATCAACAACTTGATTACGAGGCGTCGTCCCGGGAGTGCGATGATCAACTTCTTGATTACGCAGCCAGCTGGCTAATCATGATCTTGATTTCGCATTCAGCTGGCTAATCACGATTTTGATCGCGCTGATCGTGCTACTGGCGAGCGTTGAACAATGCAGCTAATTAAAAGATACAATGATAATGATGTATATAATAGACAAAATCAATCAGTTTTGGTGGGATGGAATTTATGTTGCAGTTAATGTTTCTCATGAATGACTTGACCGAGCCTGTTCAAATTTTGTGTGTGGCTGGAAGCGGATTAGCTATAAGCTTTGGACGAATCTGGGATAGGATATATTTGCACACGCGCACCTTATTTCTGTATCTCCGGAACGGTGTCACCGATTGTTTTTCAATTTTGGTGGGTGGCTAGAGACTCAATAGCTGTAAGCTTTAGACGAGTTAGGGATGTGGCACACACATGTGAACTTGTGCACGAGCACACCTCTTCTCGCGCTTGCTCGCTCACATTGCCGAACACGGAGCTGAAAAAGACCACCCCGAGCAAGAACACCGCTGTCCACGATAAGCGGCCTGACCATAAGTCAGCTCAAATGATAATCTGCATACGACCGTCGACCACATATATTGGACGAATAGCGTCACAACCCAGAGCCCGTGTAACCAAGCACAGATCAAAGATATATTTCAAGAAATGTGTATTTATAGTCCTGCCGGTGGAAGGCTCAAAGAATTGGCAAACGCTTCCGACACCCCGCAGCGGCATGCTCTACGGGGATCTCACTCCACTTGCTTCACGGTCGCAATGGCCGCCGCTGATGGCGGCACATCGGCCTTCACCCCACCAAACACTTTGGTTCTCAGAAACCAATTCAGATTGACCATGTTTTTAGGAGTTTTGATGTTAAAAATCCAAAAGGCGGCCTGCCACAGCGGGAATGCTTGGTCTGGTGGCGCCGATACCACCTCCTAGGCCTCGACGAATACCGCGTCTTCCCCGCCCAGCTCTCCATTGACGATTATGGGATGGAAAGTTTTGCGGGCCTCCGTTGGCTTCCGTCGTCTCTTGGAGAATGCGCTGCAGGTTCTCCAGCTCATCCCCTGCAAAATGTTCATAACCAAATTATAGGTACACTTAACATTGCGTGGGAGAAAATGGAGGAGAAAGAATAGGAGAGAAGGAGGGAAAGAGTAAAGGAGAGAGAGAGAGAGAGAGAGAGAGAGAGAGAGGGAGGGAGGGAGGGAGGGAGGGAGGGAGGGAGGGAGGGGAGGGGAGGGGAGGGGAGAGAGGAGAGGAGACGAGAGGAGACGAGAGGGGAGGGAGTGAGGAAGGAAGCAAGGAAAGATGGAATGAAGAAATGATGGAGGAGAGGTAGGCGGATGTAACAAGGCGAACAAGACAAGACATGGACCTGATGAGTTGGCACAGGGCACTGATAGGTACTACATTTCGGCACATGATGTGAAAATAATGTACAATGCCTCAGACTCAGCAGTCTGG